AAGATTCCACAAGCTGTGCAGCGAAAAAAGAAAAGAAAAACAAAACCAAAAAAAACCTTCAACTGGGCTTCCCTGGTGGCGCAGTGGTTGAGAGTCCGCCTGCCGATGCAGGGGACGTGGGTTCATGCCCTGGTCTGGGAGGATCCCACATGCCGCGGAGCGGCTGGGCCCATGAGCCATGGCCACTGAGCCTGCACATCCGGAGCCTGTGCTCCTCAGTGGGAGAGGCCACAACAGTGAGAAGCCCGCGTACTGCAAAAAAAGAAAAAAAACCTTCAACAAATTAGGAATAGAAAAGAACATCTTTAACCTTATAAAGGACATCTATGAACATCCTACAGCTAACAGCATATTTAATGGTGAAATATACTTTCCCACTAAGATCAAGTGCGAGATAAGACTGTACATTCTCACTACCTCTACCGGCCATTGAACTGGCAATTCTAGCCATGGCAATTTGGCAAGAAAAAGAACTAAAAGGCATCCAGATTGAAATTAAGAAGTAAAACTGTCTTTTTTCAATGGCCTGAATCTTATATATAGAATATCTGACAGCATTCACTGAAAAAGCTACTAGAATAACCAAGTTCAGCAAGATCATAGGATACAAGAGCAATATACAAAATCAATTATATTTCTATACACTAGTAACAAACAATCCAAAAATGAAATTAAGGAAACAATTCCATTCTCAATAGCATAAAAAACAATTTAGAAATAAATTTAACAAAAGAAAGTGCAAAACTTGGACACTGAAAACAATAAAACATTGTTGAAGAAAATTTTGAAAGATTTAAATAAATGGAAAGATATCACACATTCATATATTGGAAGACTTAATATCATTATGAGGGCAATACTCTCCAAATTGATCTACAGATTCAAGGCAATCACTATCAAAATCCCAGCTTTTTTACAAAGATTGACCAACTGATCCTAAAATTCTTGTGAAAATGTAAAAAACCAAGAAGAGTCAAAACAATCTTGAAAAAAGAACAAAGCTGAAAGACTCACCTTCCTGATTTCAAAACACAGTACAAAGCTACAGTAATCAAGACAGTGTGGTACTGGTATAAGGACTGACATTTAGATCAATGAAATAGAATTGAGTCCAGAAATAAACCCAAACATCTATGGCCACTGATTTTTAAGAAAGGTAACAGACAATTCAATGGGAAAAAGATAGCCTTTTCAGTAAATGATGCTGGAACAAATGAATATCTGTATGCAAAATGATGAATCTGAATGCTTACCTCACACCATACATAAAAATTAACTCAAAATGGATTACAGATCTAAATTTAAGAGCTAAAATTATAAAATGCTTAGAAGAAAACATAGGAGTAAATCTTCGGGACCTTGAACTAAGCAATGATTTCTTAGATACAACACCCAAAGTACAAGAAACAAAAGGAAAAATTTGACAGATTGGGTTTCATCAAAATTAAAATTTGCATTTCAAAAATAAATGAGTTCATTCCAATATTTCCAATTCAAAGTTAATATTACAGAGTTTCTACTTAACTTACTTGATTTTATAATTGTATATTTTTTTCTCTTACAATGTTAGAAATCTTGGTTTCTAACATTGTTATAATCACACATATTTATTTTATCCTGTTATGAAAAGTGGTAAAATAACAATACCAATATTATTAAAAATAAGATAACTCAATGCAATTTGATTCCTTTGCTGCTCTTCTTTTCCTAGGATATAGCCCACTGATGCTATACAGTCAAAATACAAGGATTTAGAGATACTAAAAATGATTCTTTGTGTGATTATGGTCTGAACATAATATAGTTAGGTTCATTTATTTTCAGTTTTTAAGGATTGCTTTTTCTTTTCTAATTTTGTTTCATAATTACATAAAACACTTATATGGTTCCAAACTATAAACAAGGAACATTCAGATGAGTCCTAACTTTCATTCCTGTCCCCTCTATGCAGCTGGTTCCCATCATTCTATTAGCAATCACTTTTACTAGTTTTTGGTTTATCCTTCCATTGTTTATGTAG